CGCCCCTTCTCTCTTCCCCGGGCTCAACGCCGAATAACTACCCAGGGACGGACCCAACCCTTTTTAAGCGTGTGGCGAGTGCACATCGGATCGCTCAATACAGAAGCAAACATTGAATGATCCGCAATGCCTTTTTGAACGCTTCGCCAAAAAACGTCGGGCCCGAGTCCGGTGTTTCACATATGCGGCGCCACTCTGAAGAGTCAGGTCGTTGGCAGGAGAGTGACCACGAGGGGGCGTGGAAACATGTGGAGGGACGATTGGAGACGTACTTCGTGGGAGTAGCAGCGCTTTGCGCTGTGTTCGCATTGCAGGACGCGCAGAGAGTACAGCGTCTTGCGCTAAACGAGCATGTGCCCGCATGCATTACAAGCAAGAGGCAGCTGAAGAAGGGATGCGACATGGGCAACGGACAGCGCCATGCGCTATACGCTGCGCGGCGCTCGCACACGCCGCGTCACTCCGCCGGCCCTCCCAGAAGCCCATCGCAGCACCCCAGGGGACGGCGAGGTCTCGTGGTGATCCACGTATGACGTACCTCCGCTGGGCCTCCCAAAAACCCACGAAAATGGTACTCCGACAGCCGACGTCGTGAGCGCAACCGACGTCGTGAAAACTCACGACCAGAGCCCGCGAGATAATCTTTGAGACGGATCGATATGTGAGGGTCACAAGGCCCGAAAGCGCCAACGGAAGAGCCCGAAAACATCCTGTACGACGGCGGTGACCCAGACTTCCGTCGACTTCATTGTGTCGAGTCCCCGGCCCTTGAAGCTCCAGGACAGCTCCTGTCACCCCTAAACGTTTGTTGATTGTCCTGGGACCCAGAAACTAGCTCAGGATGCCAGAAATGGAGAGCCTCTGCAGCGACTTGTGTTCCAAATCGCACGAGCACGACCAGAAATCACACCGGGAAGCTGACATGTTGATCAAACACCAGATGGGAAGGGAACTTGGAGGATGCGAAGACGAGCGCGCCAGAGGAGGAGGAGGAGGAGGAGGAGGAGGAGGTGTCTTCAAACAGAATGGCTGCGCGCTTCTGCTTCTGCTCAGTTCCAACACTTCGTAGCCTCTCGGCGGCCACGAAAGGCCACGAGGAGAACAACCGGAAATGAAATGGCTTTGGAGAGGGAGGAGGGGGGAAGGGAGGAGGTTCTCGAAGCCGAGCGGCGTGTACACTCGCAGTTCGGGGAAGGACGGCGGCAGCCCCTTTTCCTTCCTCCTGGCCTTCCTCTTTTCATCCCGCTCGACGAATGCCATGTCGCCGAGGCAACCGAGGCAGCCCATGCGCACGGCCGGAGTTGAGAGCAACTGGCGGCGCCCCCGTTGATCTCAGCGTTCGTTGAAAACGCTGGCGAATTCCGTGCATAAGTCACTCTCCACCATCCTCCATCCTCGTCCTCCTCGTCGTAGCATTTCTCCTCCTCCTCTTCTTCATCCTCCATCTCCTGCCTTCACTTCCTCCCCCTCCTCTTCCACCTTGATCATCATCCTCCTCACCGTCAACGCTCCTCTCATCGTCCTTGTCATCACCATCGGCACCACTATCAATACGGTAGTCGTCATAAGCACCAGCACCCTTCGCTCCCTCCCTGAGAACGCCACGGTCCATCTCATTACATAAGCCTTATACGAAACTTATCCTCGTAGTCAGGTCGCTAGGGCAGGCCAAACGCTTGGTCTGATAGGTACTCACAACTTGTGCTTATGGGACTTGGAGCTTCGGGTGGGGGGCGAGTGCGGCTCTCGTCCAGGCGACGCCTGCGTTCGTCTTACAAGCTTCCAACATCCACACCGATAGAGGGCAAACAGTTTCCATTATGTGCCCCCTCTCGACGTCGCACATATTATTCGTGCAAGTTTCGAGCGGCAGCACGCCTGGGAGGCGAATAAAATCAGTAGTGTGACGATTATGTTATGAGTGTGGCTCTCGCCCCAGCATCGCGCACATTCCTTTCAAGGTATACCAGCCAATCGACTGGACAAAGATATTTTGCTTTCGGGGAAAAGAGACTGTGCCTCTCGTCCTGATGCCGTGCACGTTCGCCTCAAGCGCTTCTAGCAATTGCGCGAATGGAGGGACGGCTGCCTCTCAAAATGGGACCCTCGCCTGCGAGCTTGTCGCGCTTGCCTGCTGCCACACAAGTTTAAGGTGTGCAGCAGCTGATGTGATGGAGGGCAGCTCACTTTCAGACGGGCCCACCGCGTGAGGCACCATCAGCACGCACGAGCTCGCATG